TTCAGCACAGATTTAAAATATTTCAGTTGGAATCTCGGCTAAAGAAATTTAGAATGATGAGCTATGCCGATTTTGTTAAAATTTTAATTAAAATTGCCGGATTTCAGTTTGACCGAGATTCAAACCATTTTTGACTAATTCAGCACAGATTTAAAATATTTCAGTTGGAATCTCGGCTAAAGAAATTTAGAATGATGAGCTATGCCGATTTTGTTAAAATTTTAATTAAAATTGCCGGATTTCAGTTTGACCGAGATTCAAACCATTTTTGACTAATTCAGCACAGATTTAAAATATTTCAGTTGGAATCTCGGCTAAAGAAATTTAGAATGATGAGCTATGCCGATTTTGTTAAAATTTTAATTAAAATTGCCGGATTTCAGTTTGACCGAGATTCAAACCATTTTTGACTAATTCAGCACAGATTTAAAATATTTCAGTTGGAATCTCGGCTAAAGAAATTTAGAATGATGAGCTATGCCGATTTTGTTAAAATTTTAATTAAAATTGCCGGATTTCAGTTTGACCGAGATTCAAACCATTTTTGACTAATTCAGCACAGATTTAAAATATTTCAGTTGGAATCTCGGCTAAAGAAATTTAGAATAGTTCGTATCTCAGCCGATTTTGTTAAAATTATTTAACTATATCTTGTATTCAATTTTATTTCTTATGCATTTTTGTTAATGATAGAAGTGAGAACATTAAAAAGCTATAAACTGTCTGTGAAACTCAAAGTGGGCCAAAATAAAAAAATATGACCTAAATATTTTTTGTACTTCCACATTTGTGCCAAATTAGAAAGAAATCGGAGTATAACTTTTGGGTAGGTTTACTTATAAATGGTATCACGCCGCTCGTAATCACAACACGGGACGGAAATGATATCAAAAGCATGTTCCGGTGTTGTGTTCTTCATCGAGCAACGCGCAAGGAAAGAGGCAAGATATAAACTTATACGCTGCGTAATGGATCAGTAATTGAGAAAGCGCGGCGTCGGCGAAGAGCATCTCGTCCCTCCTGATACGTCACGCTTATTAACTACGACGGGGATTTATCTGAAAGAATCACCCAACTAACGAAAGATAAATCCGTTTCCAACCAGTGAGGTTGCTTCAAAAGAAAATGAAATTCGCGCGGCTAATACAGACTAATAATGAAGAAAGCGTCGAGCATCGCCATCGAACGACTTCCTCCTCCTCCTCTTCCATGATGCCAACTCTCTCTCTCTCTCTCTCTCTCTCTCTCTCTCTCTCTCTCTCTCTCTCTCT